AGATTCTTAATCCTTACCATATTCATCCGGTAAGGTAAAATGACTTGGTGTTCACTTACCCGAGTAAGCGTTTGGTATACGGCTCCTTAGTTTAGTTTTTTGTGGGTGTATAGCTCAATTGGTAGAGCATTAATCTACTCGGCATTTCATCCGGCGACTTCACGGTCACCAAAGAATCCCTTATTTGATTATTCCATTTTTATTAGCGTTKATCACTCTTTTCTTTAAAGTTCATGTCGTAGAAGCACTTCACATATCTTTTCGTTTCCTTGATAGCGGTAAGTTCTCCAAGAGTATGAACACGACTGTTCAGAGTAAAAGAGCTTGAGGGTTTAAACGAGAACACCCCTATTTTACAAAGAACGCTTACAATAAGTACACTTTTGGACCTTCAAAACAAAAATCAGAGTAAATGAAAATAAATTAGTATTTATCAACAATTTTATATCATCTTAGATTTGTCTTTTATCCCTTACATGTTGCTAGTATTATCGAAGACTTCTTATGCCGATGCCTTCATTGTCGATAATTATGTGATTTGTACTGTGATAATGCTTTCACAAATCGAAGACTCCTTATGATATGATTTTGTTGTGACAATAATGTGATACTGCTTTGATAAATCGAAGACTTCTTATGACGGGATTTTGTTGTGACAATGATGTAATAGTATTATAATGATATACAGATCTTCCACCATCATTAACGTTTTAGAAGACACCGTAGGCTAGTCGTAGCTCCCAAGACTTGAAGTTCGATGTCGCCGATATCCCACAACTCACGCGCCATTTAAAACATTGACGTTAAATTTGTTTGAAACACATTAAATTGTGAATCGTGCCATAATCAAACAAAGCATGATGAAAGTCGAACATCGTATGAAAATTGAAGTTAGTTCTGTGTTTGTGTCAAAATTAACAACTCACCGACAAAATTCACGGTTCAACGCCGAACTATCTATAATCTTTTATACAAATTATAAATAGTTAGGATATAAAAATGATATAGAACGATAAGAAACTATTTATTTAAATCATAATTTTAGGGATAATACGTCCATGAACAACTTTTTAAGGGGCCGTTTACCTAAACACTTACCTGGTAAGCACTTACCGTTAAAATTCAACGATATCGTTTACTTACTGAATAAGATTTTATTCACTAAAACGCATCGTATGCAACAATTTATCCCGATAAGCACTAACCATGGTAAGAGTCCTAGTCCTCGTCCTCACTTACCAAATAAGACTCTCGATTCTTTCTTTCGCTCTTATCGGTAAGATTTTTAGTCGTTGTCATATTTATCCGGTAAAGTAAGTGACTTGGTAAGCGCTTACCCGAGTAAGCGTTTGGTAAACGGCACCTAAGTTGGATACTTGTTTAGGTAAATTGTTTCATTAAATAATACCATAAATAATTAATTCTAAAAATAAATAAATAAGGTTATAAAATTAATTTAGTTATAAAAAATTTATTTGAGCTATTTAATTAAGATTCTATTTTAATTATATTTATGTTTTAA